AATTTTAAGAATATCACTTTTGACAATATAGATGTTTCCTTCATTTTTAGTCATGGCATAACTAACCTATCCTTTAAAAAAAATCTTATACTTAGTTATATATGAGTTTTCATCTCTAGTATGTATGATTACAGGAAGAAATTGTGCAGAATAAGCTGACTCAAGAACACCTATCTTCACAGTTTTTTTTTTTTTATTTCCTATATAAAATCAACCAATGGCAGCTTTAAGCACATTCATTTATAGGTTTGGTCACCTTAACAGGTTAACTTAGTACTTAACTCTGAAATCTAGCACCCAGAAATAGCCCTTCTGGGCCTATTTGCATGACACATGTTTCTATTTTAAATTTCATCATGAAATGAAAGATTCACTTTCACATGATCTTATGTTGAAAGCACAGACCAACTTCTTGAGGAATTGATAGAGTCAATGTAGAGATTGGAGATTCAGGAACACCAAGATCCTTATCTTTCTGTATTTGTCTTAATTCCATCTCCTTATATCTCAATGGGAACAATCCCTTTTGAAAATTTCTTTTGCTCTTCCTTTTTTTCTCAGTATCTTTTCCTTTCACTTCTAAAACCAAAATATAGAATATTATTTTTGTGAATAAGGAATTTTAAGAGATTGGAAGGCATACTGGAAAGTTCTATTTTTATATACCTCACAGTGAAAGAAATCAAGAACACAATTTAGCTCTATGAAATACATTGGGATGGTACTAATAAACAATTTATTTGTGTTTCCTTATGAAGTCAAGTTTAAATTAAGACAATGGGCTCATTTATGGAGAAAAAATCAATTTAAACCAGTTGTTTTAAAGGTAGTTAAGTAAAGACTACATCCATACTGCTTTGCTTCATGGTAAAAAGTTTATGAATGGTTTAAAATCATAAAAACTTCTAATCATTCTTTGTACTTTGCTTTCACTGGATACATACAGGAATCGATTGGAATCTGTGGCTTGGTCTGGATCGAAGAACCAAAGCCCCATACATACTATTTAAAAATCCTGCTTGATTAACCTTCTAGGGAAGCATCCAAGATTCATGTATAGGCTGCATAGCAGAATTGGGGTAGCATGAAAAGATGAAAGGTCTGCAAGTGCTTAGGATCAGAGCAATAAGGACACCCCATTTACCTTTTCCATGTAACAGATTGTGTCCTACAGAAATGTGCCACAGTTATCTCAGATGCCAGGTAGCCAAGTGGAAAGCATTAGTGAGGATTTACGGTTTAAGTAAATTACTTCCAGAAGTTATGTTTCCAAGCTATTAGTGTGGAAAAAAATAGTCTGAAATTCTGGGGAGAGAATACATCTTTCTGTAAGCAAGTCAGTGGAATGAGGAGAGTGTCACAACTTCACCCCTTAAAATCACTTTAATGCATCTATTTTATTACACTGGATTAAAAATACTGCACTCAACACAATTAGCAATTAGATAAATAAACATGCCCAAGGAAAAAGCAATGCCCTATCACATGTTTTTTTTTTTTTTTTTTTTCTTACCATAGAAGATACTTAGAAGTGAAAATTTTGTCAGTTATAAATTAGGACAATAGAAGTCACCATTTTTCTTTTTTGTTTATTTTTCCTAAAACAAATTAAATCTGTGTTAGACAAAAAAAATTCTAACCTGGGTCATCGTGGAAGAATAGAATCTTTCATAGATCATGCTAGAAGAGACTAGGTAACAACTCCAATCATTTAGAGCAGCCTAAACAAATAACGCCAAACTCTCAGTGACTCAACATAACAAAGGTTCATTTGTTTTTCACACTTCATGTTCAAGGAGGTAGACCACAAAACCACCATATTCATTGTTGTCTTTCTACATACAGTTTAGTCAAGGGATGCTCAATCAAACTGTGAATCACTTTATAACCATATACTTCCTTGGTTACAGTCAACATGGCAGAGAAGGTAAAGCTCTGAAAAATGAATGCTCTGGATTAAAAAATATATCCATTGTTCTGGTTTAGATGTGAGGTATCCCCCAAAAGCTCATCTGTGAGACAAGGCAAAAGAGTTTAGAAGTAAAAATGATTGGATTATGAAAGCCTTAACCTAATCAGAGTATTAATCCCCTGACAGGGATTAATTTGAGGGTAACTGTAGGCAGGTAGGGTGTGGCAGGAGCAGGTGGATACCTGGAGGCATGCCTTAGGTATATATATATTTTGTCTTTTTTGAGCAGAGCTCACTCTCTGCTACCTGGTTTGATGTCTTTGAGCTGTTTCCTTCTGCCTAGCTCTTCCACCCTGCTGTTCAGTCTCATCATAAGCCCTGAGGAATGGAGTCAGCCATCTGTGGACTGAGATCTCTGAAACAATGAGCCCCAAAATAAACTTTTCCTCCTCTAATTAAAAAAAAAATGGGGGGGGCGGTCTTTTGGTCAAAGTAGTGAAAAATCTGACTAAGGTAGAAATTGATACCCAGAAGTGGGGTCATTACTGTGACTAACTTGACCATGTGGTTCAGAAGATTTTGGAGCTTTTTAGAATTTGTGGGAGAAATTTTGAAAAATTTAATGATGCAAGCTTAATAGCTGTTTCTGGTGGAAGCTCAGAAAATCAAAACACAGATACAACTGTGGAAAGTAAAGAGTAGGCTCATGAGGTTTCAGAGGAGAAGGAGGGCTGTATTGGAAATTAAATTAGAGGCCATTCATGTTACATTCAAAAAGTTATTTAAATTTTGCCTGTGTCCTGAGACTTTCTGTGAGTCTTATTTTAAAAGTGATGGACTTTTTAATCTGGTAGAAAACCTTTCTAGGCAGTAAAATATTCAAGCAGTGGCATGGGTATAGCTAGCAGCTTTTAGCCAAGTTAATTTTGATATTCAGGAGCAGAAAGCAGAGCAGAAAGATTTGAAAAACTTTAGAACTGGGACTAAGGAAGTTAGACATTAAAGACCTTAGTACCACTAAAAAAAAAAAAAATCTTAGCAAAGACTTTGTCCATGAATATAAGATAGATGGCTTGAGGGCATCTCAGGAATTGGCAAGACCACACCCATCTCAGGCTCAAGGGAGTCTAAGTAAAAATTCCTTTGAGAAGAAACCATGTGCCCCAAATAAATTCCACCCCCCCCCCTCTAAAATTGTTCTTGTTAGGTCTTTTGGTCATAGCTGACTAATACACTCATCGCTTCTTGCTTGGTGAGAATTAGTCACCAAACAATGCCTAAATTCAAGTGGATGGAGAATTAGAATTCCTTGTGAACCATGAAGTAAATGAGAATCAGACAGTAGTGAATAGTATTGGTAATTATTAAAATGCCAACCACAATTCAATCTTAGAGTCACTGTATATTTCAGTTACTTTCAACTTTTCACCAGAGGAGATATACCAAAAGCCCAGCATACGCCTGTGGTACAAGATGGTGTTTACAGCTAGACTAGATGTGACTCCTCTTGTATAGGTAATTAGAAACTGTAAAGTGAGCTATCTATATCTGGTAACCTAGTATATACTGGCAGAACCAGAACATAATACAAACAATATATGTTCAATTCAGAGAGAAGAGTGGCAAACATAAGGTCACTGGTTCACAGCAATTCTGAAATTCCATTGTGCAGAAATTATCAGGGCTTCTTTGTAGGTAGAAAAATCTTGTATTCCTTTCATATTTCCCCAGTTGCTTCTTCTCTCTCTGGTAGTGACCTGCCTGTAGTGGACACCTTTTTCATTTTCAAATTTGAGTGAAATAACCTCACTGTAGAGCATGGAATACGGTTCTCTATCAGGTACACTCGGTGTCAGATGAGGAGAATATAAACCACATCTATGGGGGAATTAGACCCTGGTAGAAGGAACTTTGCTCAATGGGCAAAAAGGTAAATGTAAAAAGCTCCCTTCCCCTCTCCCATGTCTGACTCTGACGTGTGGTTCCCCCTCCTTGCCATCCCCTTACCAAGAAGAACTACTTTTGAAATAGTATATGGAAGAAAGGAAAGGTGGATGGATGCCTTATATTTAGTCCTCTTCTATTTCCCTATTGATGACCATCACTCCGTAGTAACTTAATCAAAACAAGAAAGTCAGACACTGCCATGAAATGCTTCAGACTGGAAGTGATGCTGTTCTCCTGCTCACTTTTCATTGTCCAGCATGAAGAACATGGACATATAAAACTTCAAGTGTTAAACAATTATAATCCTCCATGTATCTGAAAGAGGAGGGGATGTTAGAGAACAAACATATTTCTCCCACAGATATCCTCAATGTTCAGACTTCCCAGGCATATCCTCCAGCTCTTCCCTTTCCCGGGGCTCTGGTACAAATGAGGCCAAGCTCTCCATCACCTCAGAAATTCCCATAATCCACTTCAGGACCTTCCTCCACTTACTCCAATTTACTCTCTTTTAGGAACGATGTTCTCACTGCCCTCTGTCCTGCCCCAGTCTTGTTTGCTTCACTTGTTAGTTGTTCTCTTGGCTTGTTGAACAACCATTGTCCAAGGACAACATCTACTACTCTTTTGTATTGGATCTATTGATTCCATGTTTTTTCTCTTTCTTAATATTGAATTCTAGTCCTCTTGCCTTGATATATAAAAAAAATAAGTTGTAAACAATTTATCTTGGAATTTTGAAGGCATTATGGTATCTGACTTCCAGCCTCTCAGAATGCTTTTATTTTTTAATTTAATATATCATTTCATTCATTTCTAAAAGTTCTGTATTATTCTCTGATTATTTGTTTTCTGGATTTTTTTTAAATAGAGGCAGTGTTTTCTTTTACCTCTCTAAGGTTATAGGATATTTTAAGTTTCCCTCTTGGATTCTTATTTGTTTCCTTTTTAAAATCTATCTTCCATATTAGACAATTTCTTAAAATATCAATCACTATTTTTCTCTTCAGTCATATTTAAAAGTCTGACTCGAATTTTTCTTCACAATTTTCCAGTTTCCCTGTAGAGATTTTGGGCAAGAAATAAACATTGGTTGTTTTAATTGTAAAGGCCAGTTTTGTTTTGTTTTGTTTTGTTTTAGGAAGAAGTTTCCCGTCTCCTGCCTGGAGTAATTTTACTTTTCCATCAGAATCACAAGAGCAGTATAGGTAAGGTGGTTGGGGTTTTTAACACTGAGCATGCAAATATTCATTCGACCCATCTCATATCTCATCCCCAATTTCTACTCTACCTGATGAAGCAGAGACAGCAACCTTTTGGGTTTGAGTTCTCTGCAGAATATGCACAGGTTTTTCATAGGTCAGGGAATGGGTAATTTTAGACTATTCCTGGATGAGCCTATTACAACCCCTGGTTTTAGTTACTTTATGTTTAATCAGGCACACCATCTATGGGTCTAGGAGATCCTCTTTTCTGAATCTTTACTGAATCCTATAGTCTCCTCTGCTATTGGTTCTCTCTCTTTTTCCATCTTCCAATACTGCATTGACATCTCTTGTCCATTTTCATTCTGTCTTTCCATTTTCTCACTTTTGTGAATTTGTGATTTATAAATCAGTTTTCTGTCATTTGATGTGTTTTCTCAGAAATCTAGATTATTGATTTAATAATATCTTTCTAACACATTAAAGGAACACAATTCTATCAAGTAAGTCATACTGAGTGACAGAAGGTTGTGAAGAAAGCAAAGGTAGTTGATTCTCTATCCAGGCTAGGTTTCCATACTGAGAAGTTCATCCCCAGACTAAAAACTCTCATGTGTTCTTTTTTTTTTTTTTTTCAGTTCACGCCACAGGCAATTATAAGACTTTATCTTGCAGCCCCACAGGGGAAAGCTGCCCACCCCTCTCCTACCCCTGTGCAAGAGTGGTGGACAACATTAGAGTCTGTGAGAGAAGATATCATTAGGGACTCAGACCCATCTGACAGGCCGTGTTCTTATACATATCTCCATTCCTGGCCCAGGATTTTCCATTCCAAAAGCTTTATCTAGAGATTTGGACAAAGGCCTTTTTCAGGTTCCTCTGATGAGACCTCCCTATTGGCATCACTTATAGTAAGCACATTTTCCCCCACTCTATCACAATACTAATTAATTTTTCATTCCTAGCTCCTCCCTACTCATCTTCCACCTGACCTCAAAGACCATAAAACTATAGGAGCCTTTAGTGCAGAGTTTATGATGTACATAAGTTGATCCACATGACCCCAACCACTGTGCTGTTCCCTGAAAGAAAATGGCACATTAAGTTATTACTTTCTGTGATGTAACTTCTTGTATTTACTACTGTTGTGGAAAGTGACTAAACTCTTGACTATTTAATATTTGGATTAGTTTTTTTAATGTTTTAATTGATTACTGTAACACCTAGTAGCTCAGCTTTCTTCTTATTTTCAAGATAGTGGGACCCAAAGAGCACTCATCACAACAAAAAGCAAAGTTTTGTGGCTTTATAAAAATTAATTAACCTTAATTAGCCTTTGATTTTCATCTTAAAATAGCATTAAAATTATTCACTTCATTCAGCTTTGGGAGAATTCAATGAGATGGCTTTGTAAGAATCTATAGACTATTTCTGTCACCTAATAAATAAATAGAGAATCTATTTTAATGATTGTATTGAAGATGATGATGATTTAGACTTTTTAACATCAGATCCCTTTAAAACCTTTAACCCTGCCAAACTTTTCTCCATAGAGGCATTTGTGTCAAGCAACTAATTGCTTTCCTCTCACTAAATAAATAAATAAATAAATAAATATAAATGTTTAAATAATGATGAGCAGGGAGTTCCAGAAGAATGAATATTTTGAGCCCTGGGTCCTCAATTGAAATTTCATTTGATTTCTGGCAAAAAGATGCATCAGCTCAGATTACAAATCAAGTTCTCACCCTGAAGGCAGAGCCCTGGGATTCACATGAGGCTTCCATTTAAGCTTGTGTTCTATTTATTTGTGTTCTGTAAAATGTTTTCAAGTTTTCCTATTTGCATTATGGATTTTTGTTAAGGTTTACACTGTCCTAAAAGATCATCTTTATTTTCCTCCTTTTTGCTCATGACCATATTTCATAATCTAGCCCCGTACCTTTATGTGAAAAGGGAAGAATAAAAACAATTGAGAGAAGAGATCCTGACAGTTGAAAATCATTTCCTCTTCTGGCTCTGCCACATTGTCAACACTCTCAGAACATACTGCCCCTAATTGCTAGGACTTTTCCAAAATGGATTAATCCCAATATATTATTGTAAATATATAGAAGTATTTCCAAGATGCATCTGTATGTGAAGGCATAGTAACTAAACAATTCAGCAAACAAATAGAAGATATATATTCTTTATAACTTTGCACAGAAGCAGAAAAGACATTCCCAAGAGATGAAATTATACAGTGGAACTTCTTGGTTTAGAGACAGCAAGATTTTCTTGGTATTTGTTCACTTGGTAATTCATTTTTTTCATGTACCAGTCATTGTGTGTTTTTTAAATTAATTTCATCTAACACTTCTTCAAGGTGAAATGGTATATGCATCTACAGCTCAACTTCTTGGGTAAACACTTTTATCTCCATTGATTATTAATTCTCCTTTTAAATGTGATTCATTCTTTACAAGTTTTTACTTTTATATATTATATTGAATTGACTTATTTAGGCAATTATTTTGGCTATCATGAACCCATAATCTCAATCAAATAGCTACTTACATTTATGGGAAACAGAAACTATAAGTGATTTTTTATGATTTCAGACAAGACAATCACTTGCCAGATTCTTTTAATACCTACAATTTATGGAGGTTTCTTGGAGATATTCTGTTAAATTTTCTTTTTTTTTTATTGGTTGTTCAAAACATTACAAAGCTCATGACATATCATCTTCCATACATTCGATTCAAGTGGGTTATGAACTCCCATTTTTTACCCCAAATACAAGTTGCAGAATCACATCGGTTACACATCCACATTTTTACATAATACCATATTAATGACTGTTGTATTCTGCTACCTTTCCTATCCCCTACTATCCCCCCTCCCCTTCCCTCTCATCTTCCCTCTCTACCCCATCTGCTGTTGTTTAATTCTCTCCCTTGTTTTTTTTTCCCCTTTCCCCTCACAAACTCTTATATGTAATTTTGTGTAACAATGAGGGTCTCCTTCCATTTCCATACAGTTTCCCTTCTCTCTCCCTTTCTCTCCCCCCACTCGTCTCTGTTTAATGTTAATCTTTTCCTCATGCTCTTCTTCCCTGTTCTGATTTTAGTTGCTCTCTTTATATCAAAGAAGACATTTGGCATTTGTTTTTTAAGGATTGGCTAGCTTCACTTAGCATAATCTGCTCTAATGCCATCCATTTCCCTGCAAAATCCATGATTTTGTCGTTTTTTAGTGCCGCATAATACTCCATTGTGTATAAATGCCACAGTTTTTTAATCCATTCATCTATTGAAGGGCATCTAGGTTGATTCCAAAGTCTAGCTATTGTGAATTGTACTGCTATGATCATTGATGTGGCAGTATCCCTATAGTATGCTCTTTTAAGGTCCTCAGGGAATAGACCGAGAAGGGCGATAGCTGGGTCAAATGGTGGTTCCATTCCCAGCTTTCCTAGGAATCTCCATACTGCTTTCCATATTGGCCACACCAATTTGCAGTTCCACCAGCAATGTACAAGTGTACCCTTTTCCCCACATCCTCGCCAGCACTTATTGTTGCTTGACTTCATAATGGCTGCCAATCTTACTGGAGTGAGATGGTATCTTAGGGTGGTTTTGATTTGCATTTCTCTGACTGCTAGAGATGGTGAGCATTTTTTCATGTACTTGTTGATTGATTGTATGTCCTCCTCTGAGAAGTGTCTGTTCAGGTCCTTGGCCCATTTGTTGATAGGGTTGTTTGTTATCTTATTGTTTAATTTTTTGAGTTCTTTGTATATCCTGGATATTAGGGCTCTATCTGAAGTGTGAGGAGTAAAGATTTGTTCCCAGGATGTAGGTTCCCTATTTACCTCTCTTATTGTTTCTCTTGCTGAGAAAAAACTTTTTAGTTTAAGTAAGTCCCATTTGTTTATTCTTGTATTCAACTCTTGGACTATGGGCGTCCTATTAAGGAATTTGGAGCCCGACCCCACAACATGTAGATCGGAGCCAACTTTTTCTTCTATCAGGTGCAGAGTCTCTGATTTGATATCTAGCTCCTTGATCCATTTTGAATTAACTTTTGTGCATGGCGAGAGAAAGGGGTTCAGCTTCATTTTGTTGCATATGGATTTCCAGTTTTCCCAGCACCATTTGTTGAAGATGCTATCCTTCCTCCATTGCATGCTTTTAGCGCCTTTATCAAATATAAGAAAGTTGTAATTTTGTGGATTAGTCTCTGTGTCCTCTATTCTGTACCATTGGTCCACCTGCCTGTTTTGGTACCAGTACCATGCTGTTTTTGTTACTATTGCTCTGTAGTACAGTTTGAAATCTGGTATTGCTATACCTCCCGATTCACATTTCCTGCTTAGAATTGCTTTTGCTATTCTGGGTCTTTTGTTTTTCCATATGAATTTCATGATAGCTTTATCTATTTCTACCAGAAATGCCGTTGGGATTTTGATTGGCATTGCGTTAAACCTGTAGAGAACTTTGGGTAATATTGCCATTTTGATGATGTTGGTTCTGCCTATCCATGAACAGGGTACATTTTTCCATCTTCTAAGATCTTTTTCTATCTCTCTCTTTAGGGTTCTGTAGTTTTCATTGTATAAATCTTTCACCTCTTTTGTTAGGTTGATTCCCAAGTATTTTATTTTTTTTGAGGATATTGTGAATGGGGTGGTTTTCGTCATTTCCATTTCAGAAGTTTTGTTGCTGATATACAGGAATGCCTTTGATTTATGAGTGTTGATTTTATATCCTGCCATTTTGCTGAATTCATTTATTAGCTCTAGTAGTTTCTTTGTAGATCCTTTTTTGTCTTCTAGGTAAAGAATCATGTCACCTGCAAATAGTGATAACTTAAGTTCTTCTTTTCCTATTTTTATGCCTTTAATTTCTTTTGTCTGTCTAATTGCTCTGGCTAGTATTTCAAGGACTAAATTAAATAGAAGTGGTGAGAGAGGGCATCCCTGTCTTGTTCCAGATTTTAGCGGGAATGCCTTCAGT